AATCAGGAAAATGGTCCCATTCACAACAGCCTTTAAAGAAAACTTGGCATTTAACCTAACAAGATAGGCAAAGGACCTCGACAATAAAAATTGTAGAACACTGAAGAAAAAATTTGAAGAGGAGCTCAGAAGATGGAAAGACTTCCCATGTTCATGGATAGGCAGAATTAATATTGTTAAAATGGCCATACTGGGCTGGGGTTGTGGCTCAGAGGTAAAGCGCTCACCTAGCATGCATGGCATGAGGCACTGTATCCAATCCTCAGCACCATATTAAGTAAATAAATAAATAAATAAAAAGATTGTGTCAACCTATAACCTTTTTTAAAAAAAAAAAAAAATGGCCATACTACCAAAAGATTCAATGCAATCCCCGTGAAAATACCAATGACAGGGCTGGGTTTGTAGCTCAGTGGTACAGCGCTTGCCTACTGTGTGAGAGGCACTGGGTTCAATTCTCAGCACTGCCTAAAAATCAATAAAATAAAGGATAAAAAAAAGAAATGCCTTTTAAAAAAATACCAATGACAGGGGCTGGGGTTGTGGCTCAGTGATAAAGTGCTTGCCTAGCCTGTGCGAGGCCCTGTGTCCATCTATTACCAAAAACTTAAAAAATGTTTGATAACAGAATGACAAAATTGAGAATAATTGAGAATTGTGTCTGCCAAGGGTTTGTTTTTTTTTTTTTTTTTTTCAGTCCTGGGGATTGAACCCAGGGCCTTGCAAATGCTAGGCAAGTGCTCTACCACTGAGCTACATCCTCAGCCCTGCCAGGGTTCTTAATACTTATAAAACATCTTATAGTCAGGCACGATGGTACATGCCTGTAATCCTAGCAACTCAGGATTATTGCAAATTCAAGACCAGCCTCAGCAGCTTAGTGGGACCCCAAGGATTTAGCAAGACCCAATCTCAAAACAAAAACAGAAGAAGTTGGGGATGTGGCTCAGTGGTTAAGCACTGCTGGGTTAAATTCCCAGTACCAATTTTTTTTTTTAATATATAAAGTTCCCTATATTCCTATATCACACTTGTAGACAGCTTGGTTTTTAGTTTTATTTCCTTTTGTTTTTGTCTTATTTAAACTAAATCAGTATAACTGTATGTACATAGATTAACTTAATAGGTATACTACTTTATTCCAAGAGAGCTATTCATATTTATGAACAGGGAGCTTCTGATACTTACCATAAATATGATAATCTACCATATCTCATTGTGTAATTGTCACAGATTTTATACCTTTTTTTAAAAAAAAAGTGGAGTGTGGCCATTATGTGAAGATTTTTTAAAAAATTATGCCAGTATTACTTAAACATTATGTATTACTAAACTATATTTGGTGCAAGATTAGGAGGCATGAAATACTCTTGAATGTGGTAGCAATGATTGATCATGAGGTGAGATAAGGCAAGTGAATGGTACTGAGATTAGCATACAACCTGTGAAGCTGTGCATGGTGAGTTTAATGTAGACATAAAGTTATAAATTATCTTTAGGATGTTGGGATAAAACCAATTATAATAAAGAAATATTGATGTTCTTCTGTATATATCAGATATACCTTCTTTTTCTGTATTATGGATGAAACAAAATATTTTATTTTGGTACTAGGGATTAGAACCCAGGAGCACTTTACCACATCCCCAGTATCTTTACCATATCCATTGAGCACAATCCTAGCCCTTTTTATTTTTTTATTTTGAGACAGGGTCTCATTAGGTTGCTTTGGGCCTTGCTAAATTGCTGAGGCTGGCTTTGAACTTGTGATTCTCCTGTCTCAGCCTCCTGAGTTGCTGGGATTACAGGTGTGCACCACCATGCCCAGGTAAAATGTTTTATTTTTAATACAATCAATAAGATACTTTTTTTGTATTTTATATACTTAGTTTTATTGTAATCAACATGCTAATTGTACAAATTAATGATTTTACTGTGCCCTTTCCATACATGCACACATCACACCTCGATCCCCACTCCCTTCTCCCTTCTCTTGTCCTCCACCCCACATCTCCTTCTCCTTTCTTAATAGTCCTTCTTCTACTTCCAGGTAAGCTCCCTAAGACCAGCCCTGTGGCCCTATGCCTGTTACAGCTGTAGTGCCCATACATTTTCTCTTATATGTGCAGGTAGATGTTGAGGCTGGCTGCTAGGGGATTGAGAAATCAGAGTTTTAGGTGTCAAGTGGAGCTGAAGTGGTAAACTGGAAACTTGGAAGATGCATAAGTTTTCTAGGGCTGTTGCTACAAAGTGTCACAAACTGGGTGGCTTAAAAGAATAGAAATTTATTCTCTTATAGTACAGCAGGCCAAAAGCCTGATATTAAGGTGTCACCATGTCATGCTTTCTCTGAAAGTTGTAGGGAAGTTGTTGCATGACTTTCTCCTTGTTTCAGGTGGTTGCTGGCCATCCTTGGAATTCTTGTCTGATAGACATATTACTCCATTTTTGCATTCATCTTCATATGGACTTCTTATCTCTCTCTGCCTTTTTCCTTCTTTTAAAAAACAAGGGTATCAGTTGTATTGCATTTAGGGCCCATGCTACTTTAGTATGACCTCATCTTAACCTGATGATGCTTACAAAAACCCAAATTCCAAATAAACTCACATTCACAGGCACCACGAGTTAGCATATGCCACTAAGTCTGGCTTGCTCCTAATTCCTTTTTCTAATATTTATTTTTTAGTTGTAGGTGGACAAAATATCTTTATTTCATTTTTATGTGGTGCTAAGGATCGAACCCAGTGTGCTAGGCAAGTGATCTACCACTGAGCCACAACCCTGTTGAGAGCCACAGCCGAAGGGGCCCCTGCAAACTTCCAGCTGGAGATGTTGAGAGCCACAGCCAAAAGAGTCCCCCAATGAGCAGCTCCGTGGTCTGAAAGGGTGGGGAAACAGCCCAATGAGCATCACAGCAGAGGAGCCAATCAGCTGGCAGCTGGAAGTTTGCTGGGGCCCCTTCCGCTGTGGCTCTCAACACAACCCCAGCCCTTGCTCCTAATTCTTGATTGACTCAGAAGTACAGAAGGTTAGGGAAATAAAGGAAATCCTATATGGTTCCTGGTTTCCATGCATACTTGCTATTTATATAAGGTCATTAGTAATGTGCCTCTGTTTGATTTGTGTTCTCTCTCTTTTTTCCCCCTTAGTCCTATTAAATGTGTCCCTGTTGTTTGTAGAACACTTCCTTATTCTTCTGGGACAGATATTCCAGTTCATCTTGTGCTTTCTTTGCCTTACTCTGGAATTGGTCATTTGTCTAATGAGTTGTGTTTTCTTTAGAGAAGAATGCTAATTACAAATCAAGATCCATGCCTGATCCTCTGCAATTGGGAGCCCCTTTTATCTTTGTCTTCAGCAATGAATATTCCCCACTATAGCACTGATTTCAATAGCCCTTGACCATTTCCTTTGTTCTGAGCACCACACTATAGCCCAGGACAGAATCCTGCCCTCTCCATTGAGATGCTACACAGAAACTTGGAACAATGAGCCAATGAGAGAGAGAGATGGAGAAAAACCTAGAACAATGTTGTCCTATAAGCAGCCAACAGAAAAGTGATGTAAAAATAATGGAACTGTTATGGCTGAAAAAAAAACAAGAAAAGAAAAGATGATGAGGATACAGATGCAGAAATGATGAGTCTGAGGACAAGGATGACAATGAGGATTTTGTCAAGCAGGTTGTTGGTAAAAGCTGTCTTTTCTTTAAGCTATTTATCTTGCCCATTACCAGTCTCAAAACTTTTAGAGAACAGAGATTTCAAGACTTTGGGGGATTTTTCATTTTTACCTTTTTTTTTTTTTTTTTTTTTGGTCATTGAACATCTAGACAAGGAGGCAGGGCAGACATACACAACAGCCTTGTATTTTAGGAACTACTCCTGCCCCACACTAGTCCTGGTCCAGTTACCTTCTAATATAATAGTGTCCCTTGCAGACACATGCCTCAGAGGCAATGCTGGCCCCACTCTGCCCACCTCCACCTGTACCTTTCCTGTTGATTTGGCCCACTTCCACACACAGAAATAGACCAGTGCCCAAGGGGTAGTAGCTTCTCCCTACAGCCCCTGGTCTAGCTGAAGGAGTAAGGCTCACCCTAGCTCCAAGAACTTGCCTAGGTGCTCCCTGAGGATGGGGACAGGTAGAACCCAGGAGTGGCTGCTCTGCATCCCTGGCCATGTGTCCCCAGGACTGGACCACATGTGGGAGACAGGACCAGTTTGGCCCAGAGAAGCCTGCCTCCCTCACATAACAGAAAGACATGGGACCAGTCAGCAGGGGCATCAGGCATCTTCTAGGACTCCCTGGCATGCTTGGAGTGGGGTGGGATTGAAGGGAACCAGTCATATGCTAAACAGTCTCAGGGGTTAGTGTTTGGGCATGTGCACTGGGAAACTGGCTGTACGTAGCAACACTGGGAAATCCACTCATTATACGGCCTACTAGTGTCAGACTCCAGGTAGTGCCCACTTTTCAGAAGCAGCCTACGGGGATCTGTTTGCGCAGTCGCACTAGATCTGCCCGGCCTCCTACTCTAGAGGGTGGAGCTTTATGAGGGAGTGATCATTGGTTAGAAAATATAGGGGTTCTTCCGGGTCATGTTGGTGTGAACCAATTACAGGACAGGAGGCCTTGTCAGCGGATGTGTTTGCGCAGGCGCTCTGGATATCCCGCATTACATTGCACTAAGAAACGGAGCTTCGTGTTGGGAGTAGTAGGTCACACAGCTTCCGGTGGAAAAGGCGGGAGTGTTTGGGCTCCCTGAGGCTGATGAAGGAGGAGCCATGCAGGCAGCAGAAGAAGGTGCAGGTGTCGCAGTGGTTGCAGTGGTTGCAGCGGGTGGTGCCGCCGGCCACGTCGGGCTGGTTGGCCCTGGCGGTCCTGGGGGTCCTGAGGGTCCTGAAGGTCCTGAAGATCCTGGAGGTCCTGCCGGTCCTGGTGGTCCTGGTGTCCCTGGCGGTCCTGGTGTCCCTGGCGGTCCTGGTGGCCCAGGAGGTCCTGGTGGCCCAGGAGGTCCCGAGAATCCTGGTGATCCTGATGACCCTGGTGATCCTGGTGGCGCAGGTGATCCTGGAGGCCCTGGTGTCGCAGGAGAGGCAGATGCTGCAGTTGGTGTCCTTCCACACTCGCCAGGGCCTGGTGGAGATGCTGCGCCAGCCGCTGGAGGTCCAGGTAACTGATTGTTTCAGTTGTATCCTATTTCAGGATCCTCCCAGTGGTCTGGGCAGCTAGGGGACAGACCAGGGATGGTTGGAGGGGTTTTCCTCAGGCAGGTGACGACTGAGAGAGGAGCAGGAAAGAATTGTAACTGTAGGGTTTGGGCAGGGCATAGCCAGGGCAGAAGGATGGGGGAAGTGATGGGGAAAACCAGCCCAAAGGGAGTCAGGGGACAATGGATGATGCTGTCCAGGGTAGCCTAAGGGTATCGGATGGGAGGTGGCAGACAACAGAGGCAAGCCTCAGAGTGAGAAGAACACCTTGAGCACAGGTAAAATCAATAGTGTGGGTGATGTCTTAACCAGTATCTGTACCTGCACACTGCCAGCCTTTCCCATAGCCTGTGGATGCACATGCTGATCTCTGAGGGCCAGTTCAGAAGGAGCTCAATGTGAATGGTCCCATCTTTGCTGTGTCAGTTATACAGTGGGCTTGGTAGAAGATGACAGCAAGTGGCCAGGGCTAGTCTTAGTCCAAGGAAGCACTATAATGAAGTCTGAATAAGGGGGGTGCTCTGCACCTGTGTGAGGAGGCAAAACAAGGAAAGTGCCCCTCCTGCCCCCTTACTTGATATTCTCTTTCCCTTTTAGATGATTAACTGCTGAAGATCCTGGCCAACTCCAAACTTCCATTTCCTTCTGTCTTGACTGGCTTTCCCTGGTGGTGCGGATCCTGCAGCTCTTCGTGCCCCCAGTTTTCACTAAGCCTCAGCAGGGAGAATAGGACTAAGCTTTACCTTGAGCACCATTTTAGGCAGTAAATCCTTCCCTTGGCTGATGATTCCTACAGTAAATACTGTAGGATATCCTACTTTGCTTTGGGGGAGCCTAATTTTTTTTTTTTTTTTATAATTTGGCTCCTAGGCTTTAGGATCTATTTGTTTTGTTTCGTAATCAAATGTTTGTTACTCCAGAAAATAAATCTGAGATGCTATTCCAGTGTCTTTGTTTCTTTTAAGATCCAGAACCTCCAAATATTCTTGCCATTGTTGTCAGGTTTTAAGGGAGGTTCTGAGATTCAGTTATTCTAGCAGTACAAGGTAATTGAAGACAATTTAGGAAATAGAAGAAAAATAGTCAATTGGGTCCTATCATTCAGTTTTAACTACTGTCAAGATTTTGGAGTATTTTCTTAGTATTTTAGTTGCATATAATATATAATCCCTAAGACATGAGCCTTGCCAGGAGTGGTTTAAGGTAAGGAGTGATGTTAGCAGAATATCATTGGAGGGTCCTTGTTCCCTACTCACTTATCCTAAGCTGCACCACCCAGGGCACATAGTATTTGGAAAACATACTGCCACTGTCAGATAAAAACCTGGTAAACAAAGAGCTGATGACAACATGAAATTGAGATTAGCCCAAGAGACTCCCTCTAAAATGCAAAATGCCCCATAGGTCATTACAGTGTATGTCGTGGGGATACATTTTAACTCTAGTAGCATTAGTGGACTCTGCTGTGCTAAGAGCAGACCCTGAGATTGAGAGAAATCTCCATCAACATTGGATGTTCAGCCAGGCATGGTGGTGCATGCCTGTAATGCCAGTGGCTCAGGAGGCTGGGGCAAGGAGGATCATGTGTTCAAAGCTAGCCTCAGCAATTTAGTGAGGCCCTACGTAACTCAGTGAGACCCTGTCTCTAAATGAAATACAAAAACAAGCTTGGGATGTCACTCAGTGGTTAAGTGCTCCTGGATTTACTCCCAGTACCAAAAAAAAAAAAAATGCTTTTAGGCAACTTGTTTGTGTGTCTTCTCTTATTTTTTTTCAGTGAAAATATTCATTCAGGGGCTGGGGTTGTGGCTCAACGGTAGAGCGCTCGCCTTGCATGTGTGAGACCCTGGGTTTGATCCTCAGCACCACATAAAAATGAATAAGTGAAATAAAGGTATTGTATCTAACTACCACTCTAAATAAATAAATAAATAAAATATTCATGCAATCTCTCAAAACATGATCTGCTTTTATTTCCACCCACCCAAACATGCTTTACATTATTATCTTTTCCATCACATCTGAGATCACTCCATCCTTCCAGTTGCTCAGGCCAAAATCCTTGGTATTGTCTCAACTCCCAATTCCTCAATCCTATTTGTTCTATCTTCAAAATATATGCATAGTCATCCAGTTCATAATGCCCTGAATACTACCACAGGTCTGATCCAAGCCATCATCAATACTTGCACAAGTCATTATGACAGGCTCCTCATTGATCACCCTGCTTCTTTTCTGCTCATCCCCACAGTCTAGACTCCACACAGTAGCCAGAGGGATTGAATTCTTCCTGAAACATTTGCTCATAATGTCCTAATGAATTGTCAACACTTTTCTCTAACTGATGAGACAAGTAGACAGAAAATAAAGATGCAGATGATTTGAGCAACACCATCAATCAACTTTTTTTTCCTGGTACTGAATATTGAACCTATGGCTGCTATATGACTGGGATACATTTTTATTTTTTGAGACAGGGTATCACTAAGTTGCTGAGGCTGGCCTTGAACTTGTGATTCTCCTACGTCAGGCTTCTGAGTCTTTGGGATTATAGCTGCATGCCACCATGTCCAGCACCATGAATCAATTCGACCAATTCACACTTTGTAGAACACTCCACTCAACAGCAACAAGAACAACAGCAACACAATACACATTCTTTTCAGGTGCATATGCACTCTTCATCATGGTGGACTATATATATTCAGGACCATAGAACATGTGTTAACTAATTTAAAAGGATTGAAATTATACACAGTATGTTCTATGACCATAATGGAATTAAAATAAAGATTTTTTTAATGAGGAAAAAAAATCAAAACATTGTTATAGCATGCTTGGGTTGCTGCTATGTTTTGGATGTGATCTGGCTCCCTTATCCTCATGTTGAAATTTGATTCCCACTGTAATGGTGTTGGAGGTGGTGCAAGCTTGTAATCCTAGTACCTTGGGAGGCTGAGGCAGGAGGTTCAGAAGTTTGAGGCTATCCTCAGCAACTTAGTGAGATTCTAAGCAACTTAGCAAGACCTTGACTCGAAATAAAAATAGGGTGGGGATGTGGCTTAGTGATAAAGCTCTGGATTCAATCCCCAGTGCCAAAAAACAAAACAAACAAAACCCATACTAGAACCATGTCACATGGTTACCTCCAGCTGCAGGGGAGGCTGGCAAGAGGGTATTAGCTCTATAGTCTGCTTAGTTGTCTGACATCAATGTCTATGTGGTTGCCTGTCTCCTCTTTGCTCTTTAGTTGAGCTATTTTTATAGGTATCTAGTTCTCATGTGAAAGAGCTTGGAGAAGAGAGAGTGAGAGGGTATCAGAACCAGGCAGTGCTGAAGTCAGTCCTATCTCAGAGGAGAAAGAGTCTCCTTAGAAGTGGGACTTGGTCTGGAAGTCCCAGTGGAAGCAGAGGGAATGCCAACCCAACTTCCCTAAGCTGAAGGATATGAGCAGCTTCCTTTTTTGGTGGACCAATGGTGTCCTAGGAGACACCTGAGGTTCAGTCAGGGCCAGAAATAGATGAAAGCTGAGACAAGGTGCTGAGCTGGAGTGGGGGCTTGTTGTAGAAAGGGTAGAAATTAGACTTGCTGTTTTAGCCTGAGGTGCACAAATGAACACTGAAAGAGAAAGAGCAATGTCACCAAGGCCTTTCTGTTGTGCCAGCTTGATTCTTTGGTATAGAAGAAATTCAAGCCTCAGGTGAAAAATGTTTGGATCTGGAATGTCCCTTAAGAGCTAATATTCTGAAGCTTTGGTCCCCAGTGCAACAATGTTCAGAGGTGGGGCTTTTGGGCAGTGACTGGATCATGAGGACTTATGATTAATCCTCATCAGCAGATTGATCAATTGATGGATTAATAATTTGAATGGATTGTCAGAAGTTGGTGGAAACTATAGGAGATGGGACCTAGTTGAAGAAAGTAGGTCAGTAGTGGCATAACTTGGAAGGTTATATCTTGTCCCCCCTGCCCCTTGTGCTTCCTGGCTCCTGTGAGCTGAGAAGCTTTGTTCCATCATGTCCTTCCTCCAAGGTGCTGTGCCTCACCTCAGCATTGGAGTCAGCTGCCTATAGACTGAAAACTCTGAAACTGTGAGCCAGTATAAATCTTTCCTCCTCTAAGTTGTTTTTCTTAGGCATTTGTCACAGTGACAGAAAAGTCACTCACCCAGCTGGTATAATGAACCATGTGGCTATCAACATACCTTGTGAACATACTGGTAGCTGAATGAACTTCTTGGAAGTGGTGGAAACTATATGCAGTAGGGCATGGTTGGAGAAATTAAGTCATGGGGTAGGGGGTGCCCTGGAAGGGTATTTCTTGTCCCCAGCCCCTTTCTTTCTCTCTTTCATAGCTGCCATGGACTGAGCAACTTTCTTCTGCCATGTCCTTCAACCACGATGTTTCTGTCTTGGAACCAGCCAACCATGGACTGAAATCTCTGAAAATGTAATCCAAAAATCTTTCATCCTAAGTTGTTTTTCTCAGGTTTTTTTTCCAGCAATGAAAAGGTGACTAACACAATGTTCCTAATGGTTCCTTCAAACTTTCATATTCTATAATTCTAAATTAAGTACTTATGAGTCAACTTTGCTTCTGTTCTCTCAAATTTGCACAGTGGTTGTCACAGGGTTAGAGGAATGGGACTCATGGTAAAATGAGGAGGCTCAGACAAAACTGTTCACAAGTCCAGCATGTTCCCACCCCAGGAAATAACACCCAGTGTGTTCACCATGCCCCAAGACCTGACCCTCTGCTGGGCTGGTTCAGAAATCCAGCTGCATTACAGCTGGAACTGAATCCAGACAATTTAAATCAAAGTCTGAGCAACTGACATTGTGCACTCAAGTTTATGGGCACTGAAGTATAAAATCCAGGCAGCAAATATCAAGAACCAAAACAGCAACTGTCAGGTAGATCTGCTCATCAGTTGCCTAGAAATGTTATAGGTGCTTCATGGGGACCCTCAGAGTGACTCAAGGGCTTGTGTCCAGAGGGTGAGCCTTTCTTAACTTGAGCTGCCTCTAAATAACCATTTGTCTGAGATATTTAAATCACCTGGGACCTGAACCACCCCCCCCCCCCTACCCACTGTACTCATCTCTCATCTGAGGCTTCATTCCCCAAGGTTCCCAGAGTATCCTCCTTTGTTTGGCTTATCTCTTGCATCATCCCTCCCAAAGGTGTTTCTTTTATTCATTGTGGTGCTTGTTTACTCCCTAAATTCATGCACAGAATCCTAGAGGAAGGCAAAAGGGAGGAGATCTCCCTGGGGTCAGGGGGAGGAAGCCTGCAGATTCTCCTGCCTTCTCTTGAAAGGTGCTCCCATTTAACACAAAACAGGGCTGTTCACAGGGCACCAGAGTCATGAGGAGGGGCAACAAATGAGGACCCCATGCAGACAACAAGAAAGATGAGTCTCTGAGATGGAGAGAGAGAAGGGACAGAACATGGCCCTGAGGGAGAATCAGTGCTACTTGCATTTGTACTTATATGTCCATCATCATTCACCAGTTGATGGAAATTTGGGTTGTCTCCAAGTTGCAGTTCTTATCAATAAATCTGATATGGAATTTTATTCACAGGTCTTTTTAAATTCTCTTGAGTAAATGACAAAATAGGATTGCTGGGTAATACGGTAAGTGTAAATTTAACTTCATAAGAGAAACCAACAAACTGTTTTCCAGTGTTTATACCAATCTACATTTCTGCTAGTCATGTATGAGTTTTCCAATTTTGCAAGTTTTATTTTTCATTCTCTTTTTTTATTTAAGTATTTATTTTTTAGTTATAGGTGGACACAATAACTTCATTTTTAATTTTTTTATTTTTATGTGCTGCTGAGGATTGAACCCAGTGCCTCACGCATGGTAGGCAAGCACTCTACTTCTGAGCCACAACCACAGCCCTTATTCTTTATTTTCAAGTGTGGTTTTCCTA